AACAGAGGCTGCAACAGAGCCTGTCAGCTGGTTTGGTGTTCGTGCCGGGAAACTCCAAATCCAAACACAGTGGATAAGTAAACCCCATGTTCTACATTGCGTCTCGAGAATTCAATTGTACCTCAACACAAGTTGTTATCAATTTAATTCATGAGTAATGTATTTACTTCCGAGTAGAGTAACAGTGGGTTATAACACTGATTAGCGATTTGGCAACCGAACGATATATATTGACATATATTCTCTGTTGTGTATCTCTTTGTGTTTGCATCTCTTTGAGATTATATACCTTGTATATTGATAACCCTCACAGTAAGGTCTGCCGCTCGTATCAAGGCAGACTAGTATATGTTTGGTGCACAGTTTATATTAATAAATGTATCTCGTGTATTGAACCCGTGTGTGTGCGTTGTTAGTTGTTCTGACAATTGATTTTCTAAAAGCCCCAACGAACAACCTCGTGATTACTGCCAATTAATAATTGTCTCAGTAAACCCATCAAACCACCACAATACTTATAGCGCCAATATCAGAAACAAAAGTAAATCATTCACAATCCTGACAAGAGCAGTCTCAGCGCTATGATAAGAGCAAAACCGGACTGAAAGGGTTCAAACAGATCATTAGCTTTCATGTAAGCCTGTAATTGATGTGCATCCACATGTTCTAAAACCTTAGATAGGAATGGTAATTAAGAGATAGGTCTGTAATTCATCATTATATCACAATCCAAGCCAAGATTTCTTCAGTATAGGAGTGATTGATGTTGTCTTTAAAGCAGTAGGCACCACACTCATGGAAAAGGAACTGTTGTTGACAAGTAACAGGCAGATGTCTGGCAGGCAAGCTTTCAGTAAATAGGTAGTGATGGGATCTAGGTAACGAGAAGTTGTGTTGCAGCTGTTAATATTTTTTGTAATTTTAGCTGAATTAACTAAACTAAATTCAGAAACATCTGGTACAACGGGAATGTCAATTAAAAAGCTAGGGCTCAAAGAGTTGTCTGAATCCATTACAAGGCTAAGGCCTGATTCGGATAATTGTAGATTTTGTAGGTTTCTCATGGATTGAAAGAATTGAAGAGCACTTCATGATTTCCTAGTCCAGAGCTGATTGTATCCAAGATATATATTGTAAGGATCTGGCAGAAGCTAGAGCAGCTCTATAGACTTGCGGGAGTTAATTATAAGCCTGAGTGTGAACCACTAGTTTGGATTATTATTTTAGCGGTATAGTTACCATCCATTTAGTTTAAAAGAGAAAAGTTCAGGTATATACCAAAAAGTATAAAGTTCAGTGCTTAAAGGACACTGAGAGAGTCACCTGTTGAAGATCATCAATCTTGTAAAAGGGGAGAGCTAATTCCAGCATTAGAGAAAACAGAATGATTCACAGATTTCAGATTTCTAAAAAAAAACATGCTTAAACATCTCATGCAAGAATGAGGGATACAGACATCAAATAACACAGGTCTATGATCCGAAATTTGCAGAGCAAATTTACAGTCCAAGGAGTCAACATGAATAATTGATTAATCATTATCTCTGATCCCTCCCTATAAGAAAAGAAGATAGTTAAATTAATCAGGAATTCAAAGGGGACATCTCAAGATCAACAAAGATTTATTACAAGGTCTCTGGAGAGAAATGAAGTTTAGAAACAGGACAACATTAATGCTGACTTCTGTACACAGAGTGGTTTGGGGATCTGGATTAAAACTCCAAAGACATATCATTGAAGCTGACTTGTTGGGTTTCTTTAAGAAATGCCTTGGTGGAATTCTTGTTTAAATTGCAAATAACCAAATTAGACAGATTTACCAAATAAGATACAAGCTGGGGGAATCTTTCTTATATTATTGTATCTACCTTTACAAGAATCTAATGGAAAGTAAAAATGATTATACTGTATAAATGACAAGTAGAGTCAGACCTCTTCATTCACTGAATTTACAAAATGTGATTCACGCTGAAATTATTCTTTATCTCTTTCAAGTATCACTTTCTCAAATAATATGTCAGGATGTGCTAGGTGTAAAAATTGAATACTTACAGTATTTCATAATTTTATTTAAAATGTAATTTCATTTTAGCCTTTTTGCTTTAAGCAGACTTGAAAAGTATAACCATAATGGCAAAATACAAATAATGTATTTCTCTACAAAGCTTTTTCAATCATGGAATGATTCAGTAGTTAATAAGGATACTGGGGATTATATTCTGTAGTTAAACTGAAACAGAGTCATGTGCTTCTACAATTCTGCACCCTGTCTGACCTTTAGATTTGCTTTCAGGCAAAGGTAATAACTCTTCTCACAACACTGAAGTGTCTAACCTTGAGAAGCGTATCTAAACATTGTACAATCTTGCTCAGTAAGCTCCTAATCAACCTTGCTAAAATCACTCAGATTCATTTTGCTGTTTAACTGGAGCCAAAGTAACTCTCTTAAGTGTTATGTAAATGCAAGTCTATGAAGTAAACCCAGAGGAATTTACAACTTTAAAATGGATACATTTAAATATGAATGTGACAGCAATTGTACATCCATTCGGGCTATGACCACCTCCCACCCTTTTGAATTCACTTACCGTTTGATGACTTCTGTCACAGTATCGGAGTCCAAAGTAATCTGTCTCTGCCAGGTTTACATGACTGAATACGTAGTCCAGGACAACCGACCCCTTGGTTGACTTCTGTGGGAAAGAATTTAAAGGCTTTCTTTAGAAACATACCACTGCTTTGTGTGTTGTGTGTGGTACCAACCAAAAGTGTCCTCAGCTCAGTTTAAAAAGAAGTGTTGTTTTATTAGACTGGTGGCTTGCTGAAGAAAACCTGTTTCTGGCACAATATTCACTTTTTGTTTAACTGTAAACACTGTAAGTACAGAAACTGTACTAGGAGGAGATAATTTATTCAAAATCTTTGTATAAATGCTTTAGCATTTGTTTTCTAGTTTATCATGAAACAGCACTATGGTCTTGAAAGGGAAAGCTGAAGAAATAAAAAAATAAAATATTGCTTCTTTTCTGTGCCTACAAGAGCCTGCTGCTTTGCACAGAATTGCTTTATTGAAGACTACATAAAAAAATAATTTCCTTCACTTAAAATTGGCTGCACTCTATCACTGTTATATATGGCTGACAACTGTATGTTCCACATTTATGCCTGAGTAACTATTGTGTAGATCTCTGCTTAAGAAATGTGAACTGCTGCCCCAAACATTGTGATAAAGCAATTCTCAGAAAATAAAGGCTCTGGCATTTAGTCTGAGTTTAGGTTTTGAAACCAAATTAAAAATTCAAAAGCCCCTTGTTGTCTTTTACAAAGATAAATGCATCAACTTCATGCATTTAGACCATAAGAAAGGTTAGATCTATTATGTAAATTGTTTGGTTTGAGCATTTGAATTTAAATAAAAAAACAGTTAAAAACAATTTCCTTAAATATAGCTGCATACATTAATACGTTAAAAATTGCATCACACTATTCTGGATTTTACCAAGTATATATATCAAGATTAAATCAACAGCTGTATTGATTATCTCATTTTTTATATGGTATAATGAGTGTTGCAAGGTTGAAGGAAGCCAAAACACTGCCTAAGAACAATGAGTAATTGGATATTAGATTAAATACTTCAAAACCTGCAAAAGGTCAGCTGAGATACAGTTTAACTCTTCACAAAGATTGTGTTAATGTAGGGGATTCAAGTACATACTGTATGTACTGTATGCAGGATAGAAGGCAGCCACTTTGTAGTAAATGGTATTCGGCCTAGATTCCAATCTGTCTATGATTATGATACCCATAAACTGTTTATTGCAATCCACTATTATAACAACTGACTGCTGCAAACCACGACCCCAGTGTTTTACAAAAGAACACAGCTTGTTACATCACATTGCACAAGAGATTTTCTTGTCTAATTCTAATGAGCACTTGTGCTGATTGTGTCTTCAAAATCTAGTAATGTTTGCATGGGTTGCACCTTAGTATGACTGACCAAATACAAAAACAAAATAAATTGTCACCTGCATAATCAAAACTTCTACAGTATTAATTTAGACTTCCTAACACGTTTGCTAAGATTTATTGAATTCATTGAGCTAATTTGCAACAGGGTAAGCCTCTTTGTTCTGCATATCATACTTCAAGACGTATTGTGCTTCAAGAAGTATTGTGACAACTTACAAACACACTGTGATTTTCTCTTCAAGAATTTATGATAATGCTCACACAACGGCAAAAAAAAGTTTAGTTAATGAAAGGACTTGAGAGCAAGTAAAGATTAAAAATGACAAGGATATAATATTATTAGACTGGGTAATAATGAGCTGTGCTTCTTGAATGAGCCCTTTTTGACATGAAGGACAGACTGCATGCTATATTTAACTACAGGGATCTAAAGTAAATATATATGAGCAAATAGAGACTTAAACAGCAAAGAAAAGTCAAATTGCAAGTAAATGTGAATGAAAACCCACACAATATAAGTCCTTTCACTGAGTCTCACAGCTGCCAGCACTCACTCTTCATTGAGTCTCTTATCTTTCCTGGTACAATCATTTTATCATATCCTAACCTTTCATGTTTGGTTCTCAGTGCAAAAAATGAATTCAGGTAGAAGTACAAAAAGTTCAAACATTGTCTATGTTTAATTATTTTTAACCAGGCTTTTACACAGATCATTAATTATCTTATCAGCATCACATTTGTTTACAGCTGCTTAAGGTCAAAGGACAACTGCAATATATTTATCTGATAGGTTTAAAATTGATGCTTAATTGTTAGTTGAGGTATCTTATCTGCTGTGTGTTTAGGCCTGCTTTCACTGTGTAACCTTTGTAGGTGTGTATGCTCCTATGCTCTAGGCTGGTTTTCCATTAGCTCATTAGCCCTTTAAGTGAGGTTAAATCTAATAATGATGTCAAACACATTTCCCCAAGTGATGTAATTCTTGACAACACAGACACTCAGTGAATCTCCCAGTTCTTTCATAGTACATTCATGCTTAAGGTCGTGACCCAAGATGAAACTTAACCCTGAAATATACTGTAGTATCATCATATGCTTCTAAAGGGTAAGATCTCAGGTAGATCATCTGATAAACAAAATTCATTATTTTCTAAAAAGATCTTTTTACATTTAAGAAAAATTAGAGATAGCTTAATGGGGTGAAGGGAGGTACTTAGATTGGGCATCACTTCAGTCATATTCAATACACATACCAAAATAAGTGAGAAGGGAGTTGCTGAAAACTGGAAGAGCTGCAACCTGTTTTTTATGTCTATTATACTAGGTATTCATTTACTACCATAGGTTGCTTGTGAAGTAATGATGATAATTGCATGAAACAACAAAATTAGTAGATCTGTTGGTTATCGGTCTTAAATCTTTTGAGTCATTCCCATTTGCTGCAATAACCAGAGGTGATGTGACTTGTTCTTTCAACACCCTGCAAAGGTTACATGAAAAGGCAAAATATCAAATGTACAAAACTTGGTTAATCTCCAGGGAGTGATTGGATTTCCTTTAAAACTAAAAAAGAATACGGTCCTAAAGAGCATACCGCTCTAGGGAAGATTTCAAAAGCAGTGCACCGCTGTTTTAGCTGCAACATCTTTGATACAATAGAACTGTGTGGACTATTATTGTGTGAATCATAGACCCATGTCCCCCTACAGAACAGAAACTAAAATATTGACATATTTACCACTGCAAAACACATTGCCCATTAGAAAAGAGAGAATCATAAATTACAGAAAGGTAAGGAACTCTGTAGCAGCACAAACAATTTCTCTGCATTCTAAGTAAAGACTGTGACATTAACCATGGGAGAACTAATCATTGCTCCAGCAATGAATGTCATATATAGAGTTATACTGTTGCACAGAAAAGTAACAAATCTACCCCTATCTTACCACACTTAACAACTTTATGAGTGTGTTAGGATCATTGAATTTAAATGTACGAGTAGGACATCAACCTTAATACCTCAGGAAATCTTACTCTAATACAGTGAATCAGCATATATAAACTGCTTGGGAAAAGAAAATAGCAATCTTATGCCTTTTGAATGACAACTGATATCACATATGCTTTTCATGATGTCACAAGATACAATCAACAAATACAATAACAAACACATCACCAGCTGTCTTTGAGCACTAGCTTTTTGTCATTGTTATATTAACTATGAGTCAACATTTGTCTGCGTGACTGTTTCTCTAACTACACTGATCAATCTTTTGCACTTACAAAGTTTTCAAATCATTCAACTGTCTTATTTACCTCTCATTACCAATGCCTACTTAGCATTTCTATCAGCTTGAACATATACAGAACAATATAAAAAATAATTAGGTATCAATTGCTGTTAACAGTTAATTCTATATACTGTATATTTGTGCATTTACTTTTACATTCACTTTAAATGTGTAAACGGGTTAACTGAAATATATTTATGATATGGTGTGTTTCCTCCCACTGTCCAAAGACATGCCAGTAGGTTAATTGGCTTCTTACAAAACTGGCCCTGTGTGAGCATGTGTAATGTATATCTGTGTGTGCCCGCACAAATGAAGCAATTAGAAAATGAATTGATTGATTAACAAAATAATTATTTGATTGTTTAAATTTTAACGTAAAATTTAAAAACACAAATGAGCAGACAGTGTGCATTCAGCTCATTTTATTGATTTCATGGAGCATTAATTATCAACATTTGGTTACAGAAGAACGTATTCAGAAAGAACACAAAATAAAAATGGATGATTTTGTCAATGAGAGACCTACGTAAGTCTGGACTTGTTAATAGGTTGATACTTAGGACCTCAGATATGATTTTAAACTCTGTTTTGGTAATCTGTGTATTTCTGGAGACTGCAATAATAAACCGATAAAAGAATTTCCACCAAGGATCATTTACCTACCCCTAGATGTACTCGTAAAGCACTCATTCTATTTATACAGTAGGACACCAACTCCAATCAATCCTGTCTAAAGTACTGTTCTTTTTCTTTCTGGAGTATGAGTGTCATTTCCACAGACTGTTGCTGACAATGTAGGAATGTTCAATGGGTTTATATTACAGGCTGATACATGACAAGCAGTTCTCCAAAACCACAAAACATGTTGCCTATGCATGTCATTTACAGTGATTTATTTCTAAAACACAAGAATATATATTTTTTGTTATGAAAACAGTTTGTTAATATGTTATGTAAAACATTATGAAAAAAAAATTGAGAATGTATAAAATTCTATGAAATTTAGTTACAGAGGTCCTATGTCATATTTCAAAATCCTCAGTGTCTTTAGTGAGTGCTGTTGAGTTTTTGCTTATTAAAGTATTATTCTGCATGTCTCCACAGCAATTACTGTCACCCATCAGGGTTACCTACACATAACCTTGATTAATCTATAAAAGGGACTTGACTCTGCTGCTACTAAGTCCACCTGAGGTGTTGCTCCAATATACCAATGGCATGAAAACATCATTCTCTTGATGAGCAGGACATATACAGTAGGTCTTCTCTGAATTTTTACATATTACTTTACCTTCTTAATTTTCATCAGTCTTGACATTCAAAGGTTAAATCACCCCTGATGTCACCAGACCCCTAAGGAGGTAAAAGAGGATGCCCCTATAATACCAGAGGACACACATATTCCTATATATCTACAGCAAGGG